CCGCAGCCCCGGACTTAAACACTCCTGCGTCGAGATCATCCAGCACTCTTCTAGGCGGCCAGTGTTGAGTCTCCTCTTCCCGGTGCACAGCATGTGCGCCCTGTGACAGCTCCTCTTCCCCCGGATCCGCTGCACTCTTGCTCTGAAAATCGATGGATGCACCCTCTAAAGCATAAAGTTCATGCTCGCTAGGCCTGGTCTCCAACACCCCTGCAGCGGGCTCCTCCAGCGCTTTGCGCTCGCCGACGTCGTGAAACAAAGTCCTCGCAGACAAGTGTGAATGTACTCGCACTTGATAAGACCTCAGGGCCGCCTCATCTCGCATGTCCGAGTCTCGACTCCCTTCGCAGCGGCTTTCAGTTCTGCTAGACTCGTGGCTCCCGAACACTTTACGCTTTCAGCCCGACCCCTTTCCGCCCGACCCCTTTCCGCCCAACCCCTTTCCGCCGGACCCTTTTTCGCTGGACCGTTTTCCGCCGGAGCTCTTTGGTTCCGACGACGTTTCGCCTGGCCCCTTCCCCTTTGCTTTGTCACCACCAGATCCCGACCCGTCTCCTCCATCACCTCCTCCACCAGGTCCTGCGCCGTCTCCTCCATCACCTCGCCCACCGCCTCCCGGATGCTGACCACCCGACCGAGGTTGCGGTATGCGCCAGTCAATGCCACGAGACAGTGCCGTCTCGAGTGCGTAGCAAGGCGCTCGAAACTCCGACATTTTGTTGGCGTACAACTCATCTAGCTTTTGGCTTGCATACACATTGACGTCCGACAGACTCCTGTTGGGGTTCATAACCCTCAAATGCTCCACCAGAGCTTCTCTCGCCTTTTTCTTAAATGCACCCACTCCCAGTCAATTCATGCCACTCCACTTGCCATCGGCTTGCCTCATTGCCATGACCAACTTTCCAGTCTTTACAGCAGGTTGGAATTTCCTGGGGTGCCAGACGAGGTTGTGGCCCTAGACATCCTCCGGCGGGAACCGGTGATGCTTCCCGTAGAGGAAGAGCATGTCATTCTCCCAGGTATCATGGTCCCTAGGGAGCTTGTCACCAGGTACGTAATCATAGTCTCTCTCTTCTTCCCGGTCATCAGAAGATTGGTCCTTGACTGTTTCGCGCTTAAACACACGCTTCAAACCGGCAGGGGACGTGCTATATCTTCAGGGAACACCTTCCCCTTCATCATCAACCTGTGCAACCACCCGAGGAAGTGGCATGGATTCGAAATCGAAGGTTTCGGGGTCGCTCATCTCCTCCATGTCCTCAGCGTCGAAAGGGTCCTCCTCGTCGAACTGCGCCTTGTAGTTTTCGAGGGTCAGTGGTTCGGTCATCAAGAAGAAAACACGCTCTAGCCTTTTTAGGAAATTTGAGACAGACTCCCTGGGTGCATCGTGGTAACCATTCAGCACACCGAAGACCAGGTTCCTCCATCGGTTGTATTCCAGGTCAGTCTGAGCAGGTGGTCCTAGCTGGAAAAGGAACTCCCAAACCTCTGTCCTTGTCTTCTCCGACAATTTCCAATACATATCACGTTTGGGATCCCAGTTTCGTTCGTCGGTGGTCTGGACAAAAGAGCAATGGCAGCGAGGGTCCCCCACGCGTGTCTTCACGAACTCGCAAAGGTAATCAATCATCTTCGCCTCGTCCTCTAACGCAACGACGTTCCGGCCACTGCGGAGGAGCTCCCACACGACAGACGCGTGCGCCTTCCCGAAGAAAAAAACAGTTTGCCCAACTCTGCAAAAGTTATCCAGCAGACCAATTAGATGAGTTGGGTTGCGCCCCCTGTCCCCGTAAGTAGCTCCTCGAACCCTTGTCACACCGCTGTCCTCCCACTGGCTACGAGGGAACTTGTCCTCGTCTGCCACGTCGAAACAGGCCACAGCCCGTCCTGACGGGTCGGATGAGCAGGCAGCTTTCGAGCGGGCCGTCGTCGCGGGTTTGACCGGACTTGGAGCATTGGCACGGGTAGGCTTCGATGGACTACTGGCCGGGAAGACTGTGACCGTGTTGTCTACCACGTTGTCACCATCTATGTTGCACGCCCGGCCGCAGCTAGGGGGTTCGAGTCGGCCGCGGCCTAGGCCGATGACCGAATCGGCCCGGTTCGGCCTAGGCCGACCTGCCGAGTTCGGTGCAGTATTTTTTTTTCCCATTTTTTACGTGTAAAAAATATATATATATATATGGGCGTGTAATGCTGGAAAAGCCCTATACGCCCATATTTTTTTTTTGGGTGTCCGACCTTCGGCGCGGCGCAGAAAA